AAATTAAAAACAAATTATTAAGTATATGGAATTGTTGTTACGCGCCTAATAATTCAGGATAACATTCTTAATCAAATTTGGAATTTTGTAAGCTCATACTGAACTACTGTACAGTATTTCATTTCATAATTTGAACTGGGGGTTTATTATACAATGCAGCAAACAGATTCCCGTCCGGATTCGAAACTGTAGCCTATACTTACACCGAAAAACAATTATGTAACTTAGAGATATTTACATATTTGTAATTTAATTTTAGACAATACGTAATGTGATCTTATTTTACAGTTAGAACATGTAACACTGCCAACGTTGCAGCGAATAAATCCCCGTCCGGAGACTGACCGGGACCGGCTCATCCAGATTGAGTCCTTCTCCTGAATGCAAATCCAGCGTATCCTGATTCTTCTCCCTTATCTACTTAATCATCTCATCCGGCAGACCGGACACCTTCTATAGACCGTGTCTTATTTTCCCCCCTCCTCGTGGTCTTATCTCATCCGATTTTGCGATTCGGAATCTTCTTAGAACAGTGTTGGTGCAATATCTATTCAGCGTTAAGTTCAATGCCTTCTAATATTTTGAACATTATTTGATTTAACACCGGTGGTTACTTAATGGATATCCGTTTTATTTGGCATTTTGGGGATAGCATAAAACCTTGTGCCTGCGAAATGCTCGTCTTCTACTACCTCAATGGATGTAACCCCCCCCCCCACTGATTAATTATAACATATACATATATACATTAAGCCGTGTTTAACAATGGCTCTATTTAAAAATTCCCTCCCCACAAATCGAGAAAATTAAAACATTTCAATCACAAAAGTGTTCTTACTTTTGCTGACTCGAAATAGCTCATGTAAAGGACAGAACTACCTGGCATTTTAAAACTATTTCAGTAGTTGTGAGTAATAAGTTATTCAAAGCAATATGAAGACACAGAGGAAAAAATTCCACTACGAAACTTTTCATTATTTAGATTATTGATCCAGATACTACAAAACTTGCTTCTTAAACAGTTAACTAACATTTTGAACATACTAATTATTGTCAAGAGATTTTATTCCAAAATTAAATTTATTGACTAATTTAATAACCAAAAATCCATGTGTAATTTTACATAAGCCTAAAGCCAAATGGTAAATTAAAAAGCTCAGAAAACGAGCCACGGTATCTAGCTTACGGAGTATCGAAGTAGGGCTGGTGTAATAAGATCCAACTCCTCGAGGAGGGGTTGGGTCAAGCGGCGCACTTGGTCATCATTTATGTCTTCAGAGGGTAAACAAGGGCAATAGGTCGAGGCGCCCCTTGTAGCTTATCTACAGGGAATACTACGTCTACAATGTACCATGTAATCTGGAAACATGTACAGGGTCGGTATGTGTGTTTCATTGACTACGGCAATCAAGTTTGGGCTTTTAAGCAATACCTATTTTCTTGGTCACGTTTACAGATGTAAATGACAACAAATCTTTTAAATGGCTCCAAAATCATAATATGTACCAATCGGTACTAAATGTGGAGCTTGAATTTGAGACCTTGGAGGCTAGCGGCCATCTTGGATAGTTTCAAACAGCCGCTAAAGGGTTATTTATTGTCCAACAATATTATCCAAACACCAAAGTGACCATAATTTAAATATCTATTCTACTGTGAGATTATAAATTTTCATTGTAGTTTTGAATTGTTTTCCAAGGTAGTCCATGGAAGCTAGCAGCCATCTTGGATTTGCTCGGTATAAGAGCAATGTTAATCTCTTTAATTTCAAACAGCCGCCGAAGAGTTATTTATCATCTCAAAATATTTTTTTCAAACACCAGAGTGATTATAATTTAAATATCTAGTAGGAAATACTGTGAGATTAAAACTTATAAACACGTGTTTTTGTGAATTAGAAATGTTCTCTGTAGTTTTTTAATTGTTTAAACGTCTGCGTTTGCTCTTTTAGCAATAATCTGTACAAAAATAGTTTTGCTATTATGGATTATAGACTTTTGACTACCTACCAATACCAACTAATTAGGTTACCGTAAACCACTTTTTACCTGTCATCTTGTGGAAGTAAGGGTTTTAAGGGCTAAGGGTCTTCAGTAAATATATCTTTTTCCAAAAGAAACCCCAAATATTAGGTGATGTCTGATGCCTGGTTGAACACACTAACACCATAATATTATATACAACAAATAGTGACTGTCGAAGTGAACTCGATTACCAAAAAACATTGTCTGCGTGTATCATTAACGCAAACGCCAAAATAGGTACATTTTAAAATAACAAAACAACTATCTTTTACAATCAACTTTCAACATTGTTATCCAATCTAGACCTAACTTACTCCAGAAACCCTTAAACACTATTCCAATATTGCACCCTTATAATTCCCACCCTTCAAAACGCTCAACGTACTAAACGCCCATCATTTGTCAAGGCGGCGAGAACTTATGATACCCAGATATAATAGGTCAATAAAATAGCACCACAATGGGGGTCCATTGTCACCAAGGGATACAATTTGTCCACTCTCTCCTGGGGTACAATACTCCGGAAGTTGGGCCAAAATTGTACCGTGGGACCGGCAACTTCCGCCCAAAGCTACTAGGTTTAAAGTTATAAGTGCTAGGAGATTGAAACATTGTAGCATTATTTCTGTCACTAGAGCGACTCTTTTCGAACCAAGTGTTTCGAGTTTCGGAAAATGAGTGAGGGGTTGAAAATACTTGTTTCATACAACACAATATAACGTCCTATCAAAACGAATTCCAATCATGTAGTTGCTTTCAATTTGATAATGCAAAGAAGCGGTTGTAGAAGGTGATTCAATAATTTTGTCTATTTGTGACAATGTACAAAAGTTTCGACTATAATGACAACAACGCAACAATAAGCTACAAACAAGTGATATATACTTTCGATACATGCCATTTAGTTACAATTGAAGCTTACGACAATTGTTTTAAACAGCTTATTTACTCTCTTGGCTGCAGTTCGGTCGACTTTGATATTTTGGGGTTATTTTCTGTTTTGTTGCAGAATGCATCCAATCTTAGAGAGCTAGACCTGCAAATAATGTATTGATACCCCGCCACAGCAAACCTGCAGACTAAGCGAATTTCCATCTGCCTGTTTGGATTTACAATCAAACATATCTCCTTAAAAATATCACATCCCTATCTAAATAGCAATTAGTTTAACGAGCACTGTACTTAGGTTCGCTGCAACCAACAGGGAGGTTAATAAAGTGGGTTTTCTTTAGAAATGTTAAAAGTTTAGTATTAAATAAATACACTTTCCAAATTTGAACTAAATACAGTAGATTATTCCCTAGATGGGATATTCGCTAAAACGGCCGTTTATATGTAGAATGAAAAAAAATATTTACAAAGTAGTAACTGAAGCCAAACATTTAACATATTCAGCCAAACAAAATTTATTTTAAAAGTCTAGTCCTACGTATGGACATGGAATAAATAGTAGCCGCAGTAAGCATAACTACTCTTTTTTCCTGTGTCCAGTCCATCGTACGTGAAATGAGTTCTCCAAATCGAAACAAGTGTTATTTTTAGCCATTAAAATATAGTAAAACTTAATATGAAATAGGCTCACATTTTGGCCAGATCGGCTTAATATATTAAACAAAATTTGGTAATGTCTTACTATACAGAGGCCACCCCTATACAGCGCGCTGCTGCGGTTAGGTTCTGCTGGGTTCATAATAATCATAATATTTTATGACTCATTTGGTATCGTTCGATTCATAACGAAACGAGGAAAGCCCTACAAACATATTTATGATAACCCGACCTAACCTAACCACCGCGCCGCAGTGCGCTGTAAAATAGGTGGCCTCCGTATAATACGAAAGTACCCAAAATTGTATAGAATAATAGACCAGCATAATAATAAAAAATCCATTGTGGGGTAAGACTCTGATGTGTTGATGATACCCACAACTTCCAAATAAGTTCACATTGCCATCACTATAATGAAACTAGTTATTTACACAAACATCAGAACCAAAAACATGCACAGACAGAAGTGTAGGCATTTAGGAATTCTATTAGTATTTACACATGTTAAAAACTGGAGTGCGAGCGGGTTTCGCCGTCGCGACTTTCAAAAATGAACGGACGGGCGATACTTGAACGGTTGGCAGCGCAACAAACTTGTAGCAATGAATACTTGTATTCAATGTTTGTAGAAACCTTAGAAGGCTAACACAACATTACAACATAATTATTCTAAATCTATGTACAGTATCCATATTAAAAACGGCGATTGTTTTTGAATCGTGGAACTCGTTACCAAATTTACCGTTTTGTGACAACCTATTCCCAAGAGTATGATACTATTTAGCCAGAATAAACTAAAAACTAACAATCAATTGAGTAAACAGCAGTGTGCTTTAAATGTCCTTACAACAGAACTATTTGTGAGTTGAGAGCTACAGAGCGTTTTATATCCCCCATCAATTAGTTATCACATTACTCTAAGTGTATAAGCAGCACAAAATTTAAAAAAAATCATTCAACCGTAAATAAACCCACCAAAAATCTAAACCTCTTCGACCAAAATCTGCTTAGCTTAAATATTTAGAGTATCCAAAGCCAATGTTGTACCCTGACAGTAAAACAAGAACACCCACTCACAACACAATGGTTTTAGATAAACATTTAAGGCTTTGCCTACGCTGATGAAGGTTAACGTATAAATGATTACTGTATCTCATTCTACTACCTAAACTACCTTTTTCCGTTCATCCGTACAGGTGTGAATGTTGGCTGGCCTATCAATAATATCTTCAAATTGTCTTATCTACTTTCCAATAATTATTAAAGAACTACAGTCCCGAAGCAAACCCCCAGATATAAATGCATCATCAAAGCAAAGGTGAACTTCACATAAACTCTTGTACTGAGTATTTTTGTAAACAACCTGAAACGTTAATTCGTACCATCGTACCTAAAGTCCTTACATTCTACAGATTCAAAACCACTTACCGTATGAAGTAGTCGGTGGCCCTTTGATGGAGATCCAGAATGGCAGCTGGGGTGACAACAAATAAACACAATCGAAAACCAAACAAAATCCGACCACGGCAATCGCAAAACGCAAAACGTTGGTTCTATTATAGCAGCGGACTAGAGACACGACAGCATTGTGACTACAGTGGTGTAAAGGTAGACTGGCACTGGCGACGCGCGCCCCTCCCCCCACCTTGACGATGGGCCACGCCCCTCACCCCGCCCAGCGTTCCGATTGGTCCGACGAGTCCATTCTTATCCAATAAATAATTGTATTGTGCTGCGATCTCACAATACTGTTAAAAACTGGGCCAAACGTGCGTCGGAGGGGCACGCACCGGCTGGCAAGTGGATGAGGTGCTACAGTAGAGAGGTACAGGGGTTGGAATAAGAGGCAACTGGCCAGTGCCCAACGGGTGATCTCTTTTGACTTATTAAACCTGCGCCTTATATGCCTTTAATTAACTTAGTTTTCTGGTAGTGGTAGTTTATTATGTTCAAATCCGATATGCTACCTTGCCTACTTCCTCCATCGTCTGATACCCACGCTGAAGGATAGATACAGTATTGTAAAAAGAATATAGCACCTAAATAAAAGATGAAGACCCTAACCGTGGTGTTCGAGTAATCCAAAAAGACCCAGATGGCGTGCCAATAATTACATTTCATTTTTGAATCCCGATTGTATCCATACCAATTTAAAATGAAGCATACACTAACACAAACATTAATTACAATTTCCTAAAATGTCCATTTCTCAAGGGGCCACCCCACCAAATGCTTTATTAGGACCATTAGATACGCACAAAACAAAGGTACTATTGATCAAAATTTTATAAGATTTCTAGGACATATATTGAAGATAAGATATTTTATGGGCCCGCTTCTCGATCCCTCTGTAATTCATAAGCTGGTTGGCATCACCAACAACTGCATGCCGTCGACCTTGACCTAGGGCTCAGGGGTTTTCTCACTGATAGCATCGATATAAGTCTTATCTCATGGGCCATTAAGGCCCGAACAGAGCTTGTTGATTTGAATCACAAACCATATAACAAATAAAATCGTTTTTGTAGTTTATGCAATTTGCGAATTTGAAACAGTTTTTTTTCATTTTGTTTCAATTTGCCCAATTTTAAGTGGTGCCATGGAGTATTGGTTTGGAAAACGAAGCATGTGTTGGTAAGACCACATAGAATACATATAATGGCAGGAATTGGCGTAAATAAGCAAACTTACGAGAGAGGCGTAGAGAAGGAAATAGGAATTGATCGGAGAATTTAATTACAGAAATGTTTTATAATAATAAACGTTAATAAAGATGATTTTTCCAAATTCAAAATGGTTTCCTTAACTTTAAAAATTCTTAATTATAGCAAAACAATAATTATATCAAAAAACTTGTTCGTCTGTCTTCTATATTGAACATTCATAGTAATTTTTATAAATTTTATTTATTCATAAACCTATTAAAACCTAATACTTTATACAATTTGATAAATAAAATAAAAGTTATGTGTGTAAACCATTATATGATGGGATTTTTAGTTTTGTATAACATGGATAGTTGGATATTTTATTTGTGTATGTTAAGAATTAAGTGTAGGCCTATTTTGTTTTAATTTTATTTTCATAACAGTGATTTATGTTTTAACATTCAGGTGTGCCAACCAAACAGAAGGTCGTTGTCGTAGACCATTGTTTCAGTCTCCTTTTATAGATTATGTATCTAGCTGCATCTCAAGCTAATTACAGTAATTTATATTTAATATTTGTACAATTAATTGGCGCCTTGTGCAATAAAGAGAACAGGAAGTGATACCATTATTTATAAGTCTGACTGCATCTTTACCTTGAGACTAATAGGAAATACCTCAAATTCAGTGAAATTGTCCTGTCTTAAGAAATGGCTAGTCTAGTAACAAATCTACATATCTGACCCCAATCTACACTTACCCTTTAATAATACCGGTACTCATCTTAAAATGCCCACTACACTCTCAAAACTGTCACGCTCGACACCTTGAGTTCAGAAACCTATGTAGTTTAACAGTGCTCTCCTGTATTGCATTTTAACTTATTACACCATTTTTTTTACTAGAGAAAAGACTAATCTACCAGCTTTCTAAAACTATTTTAAGATAATTTGCCTTATATTGTTCAGGGAAATTCGCACTTGAGGTTGAGACTGTAATCGTTGGAACTACTTTCTCTTATTGAGTGGTGAACGAAAGTCACAGGCACGATGCTTAACGGTTTATATCAGCACTTTTTTGTAAACGCATTGCAAAACCGTATACTAAAATAACTATTTATAGTATTTGTTTCATTACTCAAAATAATTTACGTGTTATTGTTCCGGAACTAGTGCATCCTTGAGACAGTAAAATCGTTACAAGCACTTCCCATAGACTGGTAGACACCTGCTCGCTCCCAGGACCAGTGACTAGCAGATCGCACCCCAGTCGTGGCTGTTGTCTCCCCCAGCCCTCGCCACAACCCACAATGCGGTCATCAGACGGCGATGATTTATAACTTACTGGCCACTGAGACAGTATCATGTTGCAACCAGTCTGCTGAACAAGAGTCAACGACGCGCAACGACCAGCACGGGGGAGAACGGTGGTGAAAGATGTGTCTACACATGTGGGGAACCCTTTGAAGGGAAAGAAACTAAAAGATAATTATGGATAAAGATTGCTGAACAACTGCAAATTGAGGAAAGGAAAATAGAAAGAGTTGTGGAAGATGTGTCTAAACCCTGTAGCCAGTATTATTGCATGGGGAACCGTTTGAAGGAAAAGAAACTAAAAGATGATTAGGGATAAAGATGGCTGAACAACTGCAAATTGAGGAAAGGAAAATAGAAAGAGTTGTGGAACGTGGAAGATGTGTCTACACCCTGTAGCCAGTATTATTGCATGGGGAACCGTTTGAAGGAAAGAAACTAAAAGATGATTGGGGATAAAGATGGCTGAACAACTGCAAATTGAGGAAAGGAAAATAGAAAGAGTTGTAGAAGACGAGTTTACACCAAGTTCCTTGTGTAGTAGTACCATCCCCATGTATCAGTGCAGTGGAGAAAGGCGGGTATTAATTGCGCCAACTGACCTGAGTCAGGTATTCGGGTATTCATGAATTGCGCCAACTACTCCAGGAAGCCAGACGATACGTTGCTTAACTAAGCTAAGTGGCGGGCCTCTTTGAGTGTACAAATAATTGAGTAGGTTATGATAGGTTAGATTAGGTTATAGGTTAGGATGACACCATTGACTATTGGAATAGTCAAAGATGACACGTAAACAAGGACATTCCCTCTGCGGGTAACTCATCCCCATCTGGCTTGGGCTTGGCGCAACTTAGTAACATTTATGTGACCCTTTGATGGCCTGGCGCAATTAAGGAACTCTTTTGTGCAATTAATGCACGACCTAGAAGAAAACCTCTGAAAGAAAAGAAACGAAGTTAATAAGTTTGGTTGGGGATAAACATATAAGATACTGCACACGAGACAGTTACCCGAAGAAGAGGAAACCACATAAACCTTAAATTATGAAAGGAGGGATTCGAAATGTAAAAAGTGTAGAAATTATGTTTGGCACATTGGCTTGAGTTGGAGGAGGTGGTTGGATAAAATATATTCGTCCTAAACATGGGTTGGGTTAAATAACAATTCGACAAGGAGTTGGGGAAGATTCGTGCAAGTACTTTTCACCGTGGACCCCAGTAACTGATGATAACTGTATATTTTTGATCGTGGAAGTGCAATATATATTTTGGGGTAGAAACAGCTATGGAGAAAATTGATGAAGAACATGTATGTCACTGTTTCCTGATAGTTGGTACTGAGAATGGTGGTTTTGGGGAGAAGAAAATACCACAGCAAGCATGAAGAGAGCGAAGAATGTGTGCAGCTAACTGGTATCCGATAGTTAAAAATTAGGTGTTGGGTGTCAACAGTGTTTGGTAGAGTAAGCTATAAAAAGAGAGGCAAAGAATATGGCCGTCCGTAATTATGAACAAGTACAACTGATAGTAAAGATTTGGGGTCAGACAAGGTTAGAAAGATGAGTTATTTGAAACCGGCTGTTGTTAGTGGAATGCAACATGTTTTGGAAAGAGAAAGGTGAGGGTAAGAAAGAAGATTGGTAAATGACATGTGTCATGTGTGCAACTGGTAGCAGATAGTTGGTCCTGGAAGTGCTTATTTAAGGGAGGAATAGGTTAAGGATGTCAGCAGCTACTAGTTCATGTTATTCAAAATGGAGTGCAAAACGTCTTTGAAAATGTTTGGTGCAAAAGATCGTATGAAGAGAAAAGAGCAAAAGGATTTTGTTGAATAGTAAGCATAGTAGTAATTAAAGGGGCGTTTCTGTCGGTTTATCTGAACAGCAAATTTATTTGCACAAATTTCAGAAAAACTAACAACTACAGTACCTATAGTCGATAGCATTGACACTTTACAATTTCAGTGTCAACCATGCTGGTAAATGTTTGCTCAACAATTAAATAATCATGATTGATGAAAGCGGCACCATTGCATGTCGTTGTCAGAGTACAGATGACTATAATCAAGATAAAGAGCTGAATTCGAACACTCCCCAGCACTTGTGTTGGTTCTCGGGCAATTGGTAACAAGACTAATTACGTAATTGGGCTATAATGTCCACAACCGCACAATTACCGTTTATGAAGCGGTGTAAGACAACTGGCCGAAATATATTGGTTCTTTATTGCTAGTCAAACATGGCTTAAGCTTAAATGCTTGATGCTCACCAAATAATGAAGTAACACGTAGTATCAACAATAATTTGACATAAGTTTAAGTTTTATAATTTTTAGATGTCCCCGTCTGAACTCAACTGTTGATTGGTTGTCTTGCAAAACTTTGAGGTTTGAAAATAACTGATGCAAAAACGTCATCCATAGCTGAATAAATTATTGGTGTGGAGGCTTAGTGAATGATTTTCTATGAACAATAAACTGACTATAGTCGGTGGCGATGTTACAGTTAACTACTAACGTGTAAAGCTACATTTATTCAAACGAGTTCGCGAACCAGCACGATCCGACCGGGAACGGGAGTTTATGAGGGGTTTTATGGGGTAAAAATTGGGTTTTTCCATTTTTGACCCCAAAAACAAAAAAAA